CTGGGCACGATGGGCTGGGCACGATGGGATGGGCACGATGGGCTGGGCACGATGGGCTGGGCACGATGGGATGGGCACGATGGAGGCCCGGGGGACAGTGGGGACAGCGGGGACAGCAGGGACAGCCCTGCCGGGGACAGCGGGGACAGAAGTGCAGCAGTGACAGCAGGGACAGAGGTGACAGCAGTGACAGAGATGCAGCAGTGCAGCAGTGACAGAAGTGCAGCAGTGCCAGCAATGACAGAGGTGACAGCAGTGACAGAAATGCAGCAGTGACAGAAATGCAGAAGTGCAGCAGTGACAGCAATGACAGAGGTGACAGCAGTGCAGCAGTGACAGAAATGCAGCAGTGCAGCAGTGCAGCAGGAGCAGTTCCAGCAGCATCTAGTGGCTGCAGAGGAAAGCTGCACTGGCAGGGATGGACGGGCCCAGCTGCTCCAGCTGTTTTGGGAAAACAGCTGCGAGGGGAGCTCCGGGTGTCGGATCCCGGCAGGCTCAGCCCGTCCTGCCCACACCACCAGCAGCAGCTCCCCGGGTGCTTTTGGGGGAAAAAGCTCATTTTTCTGAATTTCTTGTTCTCCAAGGCGGTGTCTCAGTCCAGCAGCTGCTGTGACTCGGTGTGTGCCCTTCTCGGGGGTGCCGGGGGAGCGGCCCCGGTGATTCCTCGCCTCCCTTGCAGGGGATCGGGAACACGTTCCAAGGAGGAGCCAACTGCATCCTGTTCGTGCTGGGCACTCGGGCGGTCCGTGCCCGGCTGCAGTCCCTCCTGTGCTGCACTCACTGCCACCAGCTGGCCTGGCCTGCCCGGGGGTCCCACGGCTCCTGGCAGCCCCCCAAGGACAGGGACAGGGACAAGGACAGGGACAAGGACAAGGACGTGCCCGGCCCCGAGCAGACGAAGCCGCTGCTCTCCAGCACCTGAGCTGCCCCGGCTGCTGCTGATTCCTCTCTTGGTAAAACTCCAGCGTGAGCCTTTGCTGCTGCCCTGTGCACTGAGGGAGGGGTGGGAGCAGTGCCAGGGGGGTTCTGCTGCTGCTCTGGGGTTCCCTGTCTGACTCTGCAGCCCCAAACCATTTATAGAAGTGCTCTGCTCCCTTTCCCTGAGCTGTTCCTCGAGGCTGTGAAAGGAGGAACTGGGCTGCAGGGCTGGCTGCCCCACAGGGGCAGGACAGCAATCAGAACTGGAGAGGAATTGGAGGCTCTTTTCAGTGTGAAATGCCACGTGCACACATTTGGTCACTGCACAGATCAGATGTTTGCTGCCCCAGGTTTTGCCCACGAGGGGATGCAGCCCCTGCTGCCCTGAAGCGATTCAATTCACCCAAGCTTGCCTAGGAAGTGTCTGGGAGCAAAACTTGGCCAGAAGCTCCTCATTTCAAGTGCAAGACTGGGCACTGATGTCCCTGCACTGCTCTGGTTGTGTGAGCACCTCGTTTCCTGCAGCTTGAGCCCATGAGCTGCAGAATTTGTGGGGGTGTCAAAGCTCACCCAGGGCAGGGCCCGTGGGGCTGGGTGGGTTTGTGTCTGTGGAGCAGCGACACAGCTCTGGGTGCCAGAGAGCAGCTGAAGGAGGGGAAACCCAGAGCAGCAGTGCTGGGATGGGCTGGGATGAGATGGGATGAGTTGGGATGGGCTGGGATGAGCTGGGATGCGCTGGGATGAGCTGGGATGTGCTGGGATGAGCTGGGATGAGCTGGGATGCACTGGGATGCGCTGGGATGTGCTGGGATGAGCTGGGATGCACTGGGATGCACTGGGATGTGCTGGGATGAGCTGGGATGTGCTGGGATGAACTGGGATGCACTGGGGGAGCTGGAATGTGCTGGGATGAGCTGGGATGTGTTAGGATGAACTGGGATGAGCTGGGATGAGCTGGGATGAGCTGTCTCTTCAGGCAGAGCACAACACCCTCTATGAAAGGACACTGCTGTGGTCCCCTGCAGGTCCTGCTCAGTCAGAGGGCTGGGGCAGCAGGCAGGATGCCTCTCTGGATCAGGATCCTGGAGGTTCCCAGGCTGCTGGGAATGGCAGGGCTCTGAGCAAACCTCTCCCCATGCACCTGTTTCTCCTTCTCCCACACCACACAGTCCAGAAAAACAAAGGACTTTTAATTTGTCATCAGTTGCCATTTTTAATTTGTGGAAGAGGTTTTTGCAAGGGGAACAGGAGCCTCGTGAGCTGTCTGGGGAGGGAGGGCAGCTGCTCCGAGCCCCCGGCTGTTCCAAAGCTGCTTTTTGGCTCCTTGCAGTCGTGTTTACAGCAGGCAGCACCATTCCACGGCACAGAGTCCTCGGGGACTGTGGGCAGAGATGAGTCCTGTTCTCTCCTGAAGCCTTGGCATTCACTTTATAATTCTATTAGTATATTTAAAGCCAAGTGTGCACAGGCTGTGTAAACACGGGGAGTCCTCAGGAGCTCTGAGCCCATTTCATGGGGCTGCGAATGGCTCTGCTCTTCAGCCTCCCCAGAGTCTTTGAAAGGTAGATGGAAGCATCTTATCTGTGCCAGAGATGACTTCAAGAGGATTTTTCCTCCTTTCAAAAGGCTTTTAAAAACTTCTGAAAGCTAAATAACAACCTTGGTAGCTCAACCTCTTGTGAATCCCACAAGGCTTAGAAAGAGGAGCTGTGTTAAACTTCTTGCACAAAGGTAGGATAGATATATTTTAATTTTATGAGACTCAGTATCATGCTGTGTTCAGTTTTTTTGGAGCCAGTCCTGAAGAGAGAAAGTAAAATTGTCACCAACTTGGCCTAAGGTAAAACAAAACAGCAGAAAAAAACCCCCACCAAAAGTAATCAAACCAGACTCCATGTTCTCAGTTTGCCTTTTTCCATTGCAGAGCTCTGAGAAATGCTTTTGGAGGGACGTGCCAGGGATGCATTTCCAGCTGCAGGCTTGCTGCAGGTGAGGGATGGTGCCACAGTCCCACAGAGGGAGCTGCAGCCCGGGGAAAGCGGCTCTGGAGAGCTGAGCCTGGACAGATCCTGCTCCTCACACTGCTCACACTGCTCAGCATCAGTGCTGGGATGCTCTGGGACCCTCTGCTCAGCCCAGCTCCAGCTCAGCTCCCCTCCTTCCCTCGCCCTGCACTGCAAACATTAAAACTCCTTGGGGTCTTGTTTTTGTGCCTGGCGAGGCTGTGCTTGGTGAGTTCTGAGGTGAACCATGCCCGAGGGGCAGGAGAGCTTCAGGAGCTGCTGCAAGGACTGTCCTGGGCACAGAACCCAGCTGGGCTGGGCTGGGCTGGGCTGGGCTGGCTCCTGCCCCTCACCCCCGCAGGACAGCAGGGATTGTTTGGTGCTGGTGATGGATGGTGCCCCTGGGTGTTCACCCCTCCTCCTTGGTGTCCAGGGGTCACCGTGGGCTTTGTGGTGGCACCTTGGGGGTTCTCCTGAGGGAATGGGAGCCCTGCAGGCTCCTCGGTGCCCAGGGACACCGGGATGTGTCCCCAGCAGGGCCAGCCCTGCCAGCACAGGGCAGGGCTCTGAGCTCTGGTGCTTGCTGTGCCTTGGGAGCGCTGGGTCACCCTGGGAGGGGCTGGGCCTTTGTGTGCCATTTGGAGATAATGTTTTGCCTCATTCACAGCTCCTCACTTGCTTGTTTTTAAAGTATTTTCTCCGACTTTTACAAAATAAAGTTCTGTTTCTTTACCAGGAGGGTGCCCAGCTTTGCATTTGTGCAGCAAAACCAGGATCTCGTCTGGTTCTTGGTTCCAGAGCTCTGCTGCTGTTCCCTGCAGTGTCCTTGTGGATCCAGCCCATTGTTGGGATCACACTGTCACACTGTCACACTGTCACACTGTCACACTGTTCCCTGCAGTGTCATTGTGGATCCAGCCCTTTCCCAGTGCTGGGGTCACACTGTCACACTGTCACACTGTCACACTGTCACACTGTCACACTGTCACACTGTTCCCTGCACAGTCCCTGTGGATCCAGCCCTTTCCCATTGTTGGGATCACACTGTCACACTGTCACACTGTCACACTGTTCCCTGCAGTGTCCCTGTGGATTCAGCCCATTGTTGGGGTCACACTGTCACACTGTCACACTCACACTGTCACACTGTCACACTGTCACACTGTCACAATCTCCTTGTCTGACTGTATGCCGTTTGTACAGCTGCTAAAGCAGGGGCTGTGTATGATTTATTTTCAGGCAGGTCATTTATTTCTTAAGTCCTTGTTTCACCTAAAGTCCCACAGTAGCTTAGGGGCCCAGAATATTGAATTAGCCTTGCCTGAATGTGCAATTCCTTCCCAAAATGCAGGAACAGGGTTTGAAGACCACGATAGAGAATTCTCCTTCCCTGTATTTAGTGGGTGTCAGGGCAGCTGTCATTCTGCTAAGAGCTCCCAGAGGGTGATGCTGCCTTTAAAGGACTGGAATTCCATGATGGAAATTTGTCCTCTTTGCAGTTTCCCCAACTGTGGGGCAGAATTTCCCTCTTGCCTTAAGATCTGTGAAGGTGAGGACAACACAAGCTGCTGAGGGGGCTCGGGCTGTGGCTCCCCATCAAGTCCTTCAGGCCGTTCACAGAAAATAAATGCAATAAAAGAGAGATCCCAAGGAGCCTGGGGACTAAATTCCACCGCACTGAGATCAGCAGGGCTCTGCTCTTCTTCCTGCTCTGGGGCATGCTGCTTCCACGTGGAGGAGGCGATGCTGCAGCCAGCCAGGGAACGTGTGCAGGACATGTGGGAAAGAGGTGTTGCTCAAGAGATGCCTTTTTCCTGGGCTGGCTGATGAAAACAGACCAATAAAACAAGAGGTTTCTTCTGTTTTCTCTGGCTGCTGGGGATGCCTGTGAACTTTGCATTTCTCTGATAAACTCACCCACAGTTGTAGTGGATGATTAACCAGGGCTCTTAAAGCAGTCCCATAACAGAGGAGGTTAAAAGAGCCACAGCACGTGTGTCCCCCCTGCATGGAGAGGGGAGGGAACTCGCTGCTCTGGACAGACACAGCCACAGCTCTGGGAGGAGGACAAGCTCTGAGGACTGCAGGAGAGCCTGAGCCAGCTGCCAGGTAGGACCACGAGGAGTGGGTTTTTTGGCCCAGGGTGGATCTGTGCAGTTTGTGGCTGCAGGGGCTGCCTGGGGCTCAGGGCAAACACCCTCTGTGTTGCCAGGGCTGCTCCCCCTGTTCCCTGATGCCACAGTTGCTGGGCAACACCTCCAGCTGTAGCAGCCCCAGCTGCAGCTCCTGGCTCTCTCCTTGTCCATGCAGGTACCGGGGGAGCTGGCTCATTTCACCAGCCTTGCTGAAAGGTCTGCCCCTTCTCGCTGGGGAGATGAGCCCGTGCCCCCCGGCACTGGGCAGCACCTCTGCTTGAGGGTCTGCTAAAAGAACAGCTGACACTGGCAAGAGCTGGAGGAAAACTGGATGGGAGCCACGGGAGAGCCAGGCAGAGGATGGGGATGATCAGCCCCAGCGCCTTACCCCCGCTGACAGAGCCCAGCGGTGATGGGATGTGTTTGGAACTCACAGAAGGTTTTTTCTGTGCAGGACATTTCCATCCCCCGTGGCTGCCTGGGCTGGAAGAAGCTACTCTCAGCATCTGTGATTCACACACCAACATGAAGCTGAAAGGAGGGAAGCAGGAGAGCTCCGAGGACAGTGAAGGTGCCAAGGGGGTGAGTGTTTTGGCTGCCTGCCTCCAGCCTGAGTCTGCCACGGGGATCCAGAGTCAGCCCTGGGGCTCTGTAAAAGGGAGGAAGAGTTGAGATCTTTTGGGCTGAGATGTTTCTATTCCTGACCCCAGTTTGTGTCAGCCTGTGGCACAGCGTTGTGCTGAGTCCCGTGGTTGTCTGCAGCTCTCCCAGCCCAGAACTCCTGTGTGACTTTCCCTTCTGTGTGACTCTCCCTTCTGTGTGACTCTCCCTTCTGTGTGACTCTCCCTCCTGTGTGACTTTCCCTCCTGTGTGACTCTCCCTTCTGTGTGACTTTCCCTTCTGTGTGACATTCCCTCCTGTGTGACTCTCCCTCCTGTGTGACATTCCCTCCTGTGTGACTCTCCCCCTGTGTTTTCTCTCCTACTTTCCCATCGGTGTTAGGCTGGATGGGGCTCCTTTCATGGCAGTGTTTGGGAGCCTTGCACAAGGCACTGCTGGGCAATGCCAGTGGTTCCCTGAGAGTGCTGGATGTCAATAATTAACACCAGTGGCTCTTCTAAACTCCTGGAATTTGGTTTATGAGAGCAAGGCAGGTGCTTTTCATCACCAATGAGAGAATGGCAGCAGTCTCCTCCCAAAAAAAACCAGACCTGAGAGCCTCAGTCTCCTCCTGATCCTTAGGCTGAGATCAACTTGAATTTTGATCTCCTGTAACACCTTAAACTCTGCAGACCCTGGAGCTGAGCTGCCAGAGATTCTGAGGAACAGGAAGAAGCTCCAGTGGCTATTTGGACAAATGGTCAATTAGGGAGATGCCAAAGCCCTCATGTGGGACCTGAGCTGAGTGCTGGGACAGAAAACCTCGCAGACTTTATGTCCATTAAGGCTGGTGACGGTGGCAGCAAACGAGATTAAAATGAAAAATGACTTTATTTATGTAGCAGCAGTGAGATGCATTAGTGAATAAAAACCCAGCCAAAAAAAATCTCAACAATCCAGCTCTGTCAACACAGCCTGGGGGCTGCATGGCAGCTAAACTGTTGTGAAAAGCGAGATTTTTTTGGATTTTTGTGACTGGGGGATGTGTGCCCACAACAGGGTGCTGATCCCACAGTTCCCCTCCTCTGTTCCAGTGCAAAGTGCAGCTCCTGTAACCCCTCAGCCAAGCCCTCCGTGGGCTGCTTGGATAAGTTCTAATTGGCTTCAGGGGCAATCAGATCCATAAATAGCTCTGTCCCAAAATACAGAGGAAGAAAAAACAAACAGGAAAGGGATTTTGCCACTTGATGCAAAAATCCCATCTTTTTAAAGCTTTCCCGTGCCAGTATCCTGTGTTATTCCACTGTCCAATTTGCACATTGGGAAAGAATAATTGCATGCAACCTTTTTCCCTGCAGGGTGGTGTTTTAAGAATGGTAACTTGAAAAAAAAATTAATCACTCAAATGATTCGTTCCTACCAGCAAAGCAGAGTAAATTGCTCTAATGACTGTGGGCATATCAAGCAGAACAAAATGAGTTGTAATGGAAACAACCCATTGGGCTGTTACAGGCAGCAAAACGAAAGGAAAAACACAGAAAGCGAGACTTCCTTTGTTTTTACTTAAAGTTATTAATGCCTAAAAGCCAGACCCATTTCCAAGGTGGTGTTCATGGATTTTTTTTGTCTCTCCCCCTGCAGAAAATGACACTTCCCCTGGCCCTGGCAGCTCTGGTTTCTGCCTTTGGATCTTCCTTCCAGTACGGCTACAACGTGTCTGTGATCAACTCTCCCGCCCCGGTGGGTGAGCCCAGCTGGGAGAGGGGCAGGTGTAACATCCCAGGAATTACCTGGCCTTTGTGGTGTCTGGGCTTGTCCCCTCTGTGCCTGGGTGTTGTGTTTTATGGCAAGGCAGACACCCTGGTTCAGGAGCCAGCACGGTGGCCACACCCAGGCCACTCGGACCATTCACCCACAAGACATCAAAATGTGATGGATGGCGAAGAATGGTGTTTATTGTTGGAGAATTTGCCATTTTATAACCTAGGCTCACTGTGCTACTCCCATCTGCTTCCATCTCAGCCAGGTGCTATTGGCTATTTGCAGGGGTTGTTACCATCCTAACAGAGAGGGGGTTTTACTGTCTTTCCGTGACATTCCGATATCTTCTGAGTGCCAAAACCTTGCTTCAACACCTGGGACAGCTGAGCTCTGGGTGCCTCCCCCTCTGGCCACCAGGCACCTCCTGAAGGGCAGGAGCAGTTTTCCAGCCCAGGCTTCTCCATCCCTCTCTTGCATTCATTCCCCAGCTCGCCCATTCCGGATTTTTATCAGGACAGTTGTTTTAGGGCAGAGCTTTATGGCATTTGTTGTTATCTAACCTTTACAGCATGGAAATTGTACTCACTGTGCCAAATGTGCTCTGTGTCTCCCTGCAGTACATGCAAGACTTTTACAACAGGACCTACCTGGACAGGACTGGAGCGCCCATGGACAGCGGCTTCCAGACGCTGCTCTGGTCCCTCACGGTGTCCATGTTCCCTCTGGGTGGCCTCTTTGGCTCGCTCATGGTGTGGCCCATGGTCAACAACTGCGGCCGGTAAAGTGAGAGCTGGAGCTGAGGTCCTGGCCGCCCTCTGGGAGGAGATAAAATCATCTCCTGGTGACTGGGCCTTGCCCAGCCCTTCAGCAGCCTGAAATTCCCACACACACCTTGAGGGGAAAGCGGGGGATGAGGGAGAGCTGCTGGGCTCAGCCACGGCTGTTGGCTCCCGTAAATTGAAGGAATTGATGTGGTTCTGGTGTGGCCAAGGCCGGGCTGTGGGCCCTGAGCCAGGCAGGGCAGCGAGGAAAGGAAGCCCTGGGATCTCAGATCAGGCCCAGCCTCCGCTGCTCAGGTTTCCTGAGAAGCTTCACTTCTTTCTGAAACCTTCATTGCCTGCAGGAAAAATGGGAATTGCCATTTCCTCCTTGCTCAGGGTTTGGCATGGTGTGAGTTTTGGCCAGCCTGACACAGAGGGGATCCCTCTGCAGTTCAGAAATGCCCAACTGAATCCATCTCTTTTCCTGTTACCCTGCAGAAAGGGCACTCTGCTGATAAATAACCTCTTCTCCATCGCTGCTGCAATCCTTATGGGAACCTCGGAGCTGGCCAAAACCTTTGAAGTAATCATCCTTTCCCGTGTTGTCATGGGAATATTTGCTGGTAAGTGGATGGTAAAGGGAGAGCAGTAAATATTTCTTTGGCTGTGGAAAGGTGTTTTATTCTCCCAACAGATGCTTTGACAGGTAGCACACACTTTAGAATCTGCATGACAAGGCTGTTCTTTAGCCCGGTGCAGAAGTACTAAAGATCATTGGGAGATAATGGCCCTGGGACTGGAATTTAAACTGCAGGGAGGAGATGTGTGTCTGTAAATGCAGCAATAAACATCTGCTGGGCACTGCAGCTCCCACCACCAGCAAACCTGCTGAGGATAATCTGCTTTCCCAGACAACTTAAAGCAGATAGTCTACTTCTTTCCTTTTCAACATAACCAGAAAAATCCATCAAAAGCCTTGCCAGACCCAACAGTCCAGCCCTGGAACTGAGTGTTTTTCCTGCAGGAGAAATGCTAAAAGGGAGAGCAGAGGGCTCAGAGCCACTGGGTTTCCTGCAGGGACAGAGGGAAGCCAAGGATATCTGTGTGCTCCTGGTGTGAGTGGCTTTACTGGAGCTGCAGGAGCAGGGGACAAGCAGAACCACGCTGGGTACCCCGAGCACAGCCAGGTCTAGAAAGGTCCTGAGATCATTTAGGCTCAATTAATTGGCTCTGGGCTGGTGAGACTGGCACACTCCCTGGTTTATTAATGAGCTGGGATAGCTTGCAAAGACAAATTTCCTGCCTTAGCTCACCAATTGCTGCATGTACAGATCAAGCTGCTTTCCCAAGCCAGGTTCTTGTTTTCCTTTTTTTTTTTTTGTTTTGTTTTGTTTTGTTTTGTTTTGTTAGTCCAATGGTTTTATTTTGGCTCTTGATTCCCTTCAGCCTGGCAGCTGCTCTCAGCACTGGAGCTTGGGATAAATGCTAAGGGTCTTGTTAAATGTGATCCCTCTTTCCAGTTATTTATAACCAAAACCCAAATCCAGCCTGGCTGCCCTGGCTTGTCCTTCTCAGGCTGACCTGGCCTCAACTGTGGGCGTTGTGCCTGGAGAGGATCTGGGAGGATCCCAGTGTCACCCTCTGGCACTGCTGGAATTTGTTTCTGTAGCTTTTAGGCCTTTTAGCTTTCAAATATCAGCC